GAAGTTGTTCTACGGTGAGCCAAGAGCAGTATACGTGGTACATTGGCGGACATGTAGTAACTCGAGGGAAAGCTCTGGAAAACAGCTAACGACTGGTCAGAGAGTCTATCGGGACTTCTAAGGAGCTTTACCCGATTAACTGTTAGTGCCAATGAAATTCTCGGTCATTTCATCACCCCACATTGTAATAATAGTCAATTATGTTATAAACACAATTAGTAGTAGACGCCATTTCAATCCGTAGCTCGGATCGATATACGCAGGAGCAAATAACAGTAATTAATGTTTTAGTAGGGTACAGCTTATATAATCTAAAGTGAAATGCCGGCACTCGTTCTGCCGTAAAGAAACTCAGGCTTCGTTCTATCTCCGCTATCCACAAACGCTGCACTCACAGTTCGCCTACCGTCACCCCAGCCGAACGAGTAGTGACCCCTTTTTCTGTACCAATCTAGCGCTCGCCTTATCAGAAAGAGGTACCACTGGGTTCGCGGTCGAGCATCAACCCAATCGCCGATAACTTTATTGGCATAAACGAAACCCACTAAGTCACGTGTCAACCCACGAACCAGCCGGCCAATTGACCTACCGAAAAAGACCTTCTGTCACACTGCTTCGGTATTCGATGCGAAGAAACGTCGAGATGGATGACCAGACAGCGCCACAGATCAGACGCGCGCATCGATGAACCTTACTACTGAAGCAAATTTGATTCAAGATGATGCGCCGTTCAGATCAGTACAGTTCGCTCGCCACTGACTAATGCAGCCGCCACTAGTGTATCTGGTGCTCAGAGGGGACCGTAGAGGGTGACATCGAGCGCATCGTGGCTGGACGTCCGGACAGGATTTATGGGCCTGTGGAAGAACTTACAAAACCATTCATACGTTGTATAAGCTAGTAAAATTTTGTAGGAAAAGCTTACGTTTTAAAAAGATACCATTTTCTGATTCAAAATAATATCAAAACTTTAATTGAGAGTTGATTAGGGATGTGATAATACGCTGACAGAGCGTGACCCCCAATTCATTTAGACTCAATTACGATGACTATAATTAGAAAAAAAACTGATCTGTCGATTGGAAAACATCGATTGCAATTACTGCACAGCCTATTTCATACGTTTAGGCACATTAAGGCACACTCTTGTTTGTGATATAATATAGCTTTGGAACCCCTTTAAAGGACGAGTACGCCTTAGGCTGATCACATATTCTGTAATGGATATATTCTGATTAGTATTATATTGGGAAACCCGCTAAAACTAGCCAATCGTTCTGGGGACAGTGGGGTCGATTTAGACCCGTTCACCCAAATGAAGTAGTTTTTTGTTTGATGAGCTGAAAGCTTCTAATAGCTTTAATCTATTCTTCAATCCAATCTCTAATCCATTCTTCAGGTGGAGAATGCACAAAAGGCAATAATTTATAAATTACATTCGTTACTCTATTTAGCTAATGGCTAATTTGTTTTATTCGGCTGTTTAGAATCCACATAATATTGACTTAAACGTGTTTGTCTGTATAACCCTACATTTTCTATATATATATATATATATATATAGGCTAATTAAAAGAAAGAAACACAGTCCTTCATGCCATTATAGGGATGAGAGTTGTCCCCATGTAAATACGGCAATAATATTGAATACCGTCTATCGATTTCCTACGCGCGTTTCATTGTTGTCTGACAGTTGCTGCAAGAAATACCCGTCGTTGCTCCTTCAAATAAAGCACGCCTACTATACAGTCGATTATCGGGCCTATTTGCATAGGCACAAACTCTTATACGTTATAGTGGCCTAGAGGAGAAAAATTGTCCTGTCATTTTGCCTGCTAGTTACGAAGGAGTTGCACATCATTCACCTATTGTGCTTATCGTCTGCGTTAGATCTATGCTGCTATGTAAATCGACTCGTCTAGTCAAGCAATGCACATACGCGTATTGCACTATTTCTTGTTAACTCTATATTATGCACATATATAGTCCTGTTAGCATGCTCATCAATTTCTCTCGAAAGGAGCAGAAAGAAGAAGTACCATTACCTTTGTTATGCCTCTGTCTCGTACAGAGCTTAGTAGAGATTCGATAGTGTACGGCCATGTGTACAGGGATGTGCTGAAATGGCCTGTTAGTGCGGTTGTTACAGTTTAGCCTCAGCTGTTGCAACTGCGGTCGAGGACGCCGCCATGTGCACAGGCCCAAGTGGAGAAAGCGGACTGCTCACCATGACTTCAACCAGCTGCCAAGAAGGGTTACGAACCAGCGTCAAACGAAGACGATGAAGCAGCTGACGAAGTTTGTCGAGGTCGCGTGCCCTGCAGACTCACATTGGTACATAGTGAAGCGCGCCTTTGGCCTCACTACTTGGCACTCGACAGAGATATCGGGAATGCGCCAGGAGCTCCCTTTGAACGGTCTGGGCAGCTTTGAGGATTCGTTGTGTGTACCTACATGGAAGAAGTTCGAGGTCGTCCAGACGGCAGATGCTCCGAGTAGCACTACCGATGCCGGTAATGATGTCTGAGCAAGGTGACAAGAACGTTGAAGAACGGAGATAGGCTTCAGGTCGGCACTTTTGGATGTCCCTGAACTGCAAAATTGAAGCGGTGCGGCTCCTCGCTTGCGGATGACCAGTGCTGACCAGTTCGAGGCCCCGACAAAACGAAGATGCCGCATACGCACAGTTTGTGGCTCGAACGAACGTTATCAGTGATAATACATGTAGTTTTTTCCGTAGAAAGGCTGTCAAGCAACAACAACGGTCATTAGTTGTTGCACCTTAGAAAAAGTAAAAGTGGCCATGTTTTTTTTAAATATAATTTCTTAATTCTCAATTAATAACTTAAATTTAACATGTCCCAGAACTGCAAAACGAAGAAGTGGTGCGGATCCTCACCTACGGCTGCCCAGTAGGGCCAAACCTACATTGAGGCTAAGCACTAATAACTTTGCTCCTAATCTTAGGTTCGTGGAGGTTACATCACTTACTGGCTATACTGTTATTTATTTCGGTCATCTCCGCATTTAATGTATTGAATTAGTATTCAAAAAGCTCCATATGTTTACCGAAAGGATACCATGGTTCCATCTTTCCAATACACCTTTCACGAAAACAGATACTCAATGTAAATTGAAAAGAAACAACCTAATATTAAATACAAACAGGTTTCAGCAGGTCCGGACCCTTTCATTCTCATTGTTTGCGATGTCCCATACAAGCTTTACGATTCGACAGAAATCTCATACAACGGCGTATAAACCCACGCTTTGAATGCCTGCAATTGCTGTTCATTTTCGTTCTAGTCTTATGATACGTGTATTATTAGAAACTACTTGTATATATGTCGATGGCGTATTCAACGCCGCAATGTTGTTAGCAGTTTACAAAAAAGGAACATTTTTTTCCTAAACCTGTTTGATAGTTCTGATAGCCATTTTACTTACGCTTTATTTGAGCTAACACGTTTCAACAGTTTAGTATATCAAGTTCTTAAAGGCTTACTCGATCTTTTACGGCAAACCATTTGTCCTTGCTCATTTTTACTAGCATGCACATATGGCATTAACAATCGAGAACTAGAGAAAGCTTAGGAGCAAAAAAGGAAGCCTTACACGAATTTCTATAGTCTGGTTCACAGGTGGCCCCAAAAGCTTAGAAAGTCCATCACCATCATCGACCTCTATATGTATCATATATATTTCTAAGCGTTGTAAACGAAGTACCTGCGAAATCCACGACCTAAGGTCGGTGGCCACGCGCGGGCACACGTTTTCAAGGTCGTTTCTTTTCATTAAAATCTCTGTACAGATGTACGTGTTGTGAGCATATGCCTCTGTATCAGCCTCGAACTGCGCGGTTCATGCGGCCTGGCCGACAGCGGCTGGTTGAATTGCGATCCTTCTGCTGTTGCTTTCGGTGCTTGCCCTTGGCCTAGGTGAGAGTGCCTACCAATTTGCCTGCCTGTCCTTGTAGAGCTCAGCTGCTCGAAGATCTGCCTGTCCGTCTGTTTCGGAGGATGAACTGGCGAGTTGTAACCGTGAACGATCCTCGATCCCTGCAACCAGAGTTGTTGCACTACTGTTGCAAACGATCTGACAGTCTAATATTATGGAATATATAGTGACCTATACATGTAGGCTTCGATCTTCGCGTGTGGCTATAGGAGTGCGACCTTTGTATCTTTTACCGACATAGTCATGATCATTGTCATCAGCATCATGTGCGCTGTCCCGGTGCACCGCTAGCGCTCCGATGACATCTGGATGTCAGGTGGAGAAGACTGATTTGGTCGTGTGCCGACGCGCTTCGCCAGCGTAGCACTTCTTCGTCCAAGAAGCTCTGTCCTCGAAAGAAACGTTGGTTTCACCTCGGCCAGATATGGCCAGAGCTGGTCAAATCGGCCAGGATTGGTGCGCTCGATCTGCACACAGGCGGAGTCTAGACAACACGCCTATTAGAGCTGTGTATTGTTAAAAAGCTCAGTGACTGCCACGCGTCGAGTGCTGTCCATTGCAGCGAAGTTGCATATATGCTCCTTCGCGCTAGAATCTACGCGTATGAAAACACTGTAAAATCTACAAAACGCTCAAGTGAAAGCGTTGGATGCATAGTATACAGTATAACCTGGCAGAGGTAGAAACTAGAAAAAGATCGCTGCCGATTTCAGAAGGTCGAAGCACTGTCTAAATCGTCTATCCAAGGTCACCGAGCGGTCACTCCATGGAAGTCGATCAGTGGGGCGATGCCGAGATCGTAAGCGAGCTTCATCGAGGTGACCTTGGGAAACGATAGTTATATTTAGAGCGAGTACGTTGCCTCATCTTTATTGGCATTAAGGCTAATGCGAAAAATAGGTTATCATTGGCTGACAAGCATGAGATAGAGTTTCGAGATTGAATACATTTTTAGCATCTACCGAGATAAAATAATGAAGTCCACCTTATCATTCGTAGTAGGCTGGTTTTCAGCGCGAAACAAAGCATATCTGTACCCAGATTCGGACCCAGTTCAGTGCGTCAGAATGTCCAACGACTGCACCGAACGTAGAACTCGAATTATTTCGTAATCACGTTTTTACGTCGCAACTGTGCACTGGAACGCGCTTATTTATAAGTAAGTTTGTATTCGTAGATGAACGGTTATTGTAGAAAGTTACGATTTTTTTTATAAGTTAAATTATTAACACACTTGTTTTCAATATCAGATCTATTTACATCATCGAAACTAACTCCGCAGTTGAACTGATAAGTTATGGCTGGCCAGGACAAAAGGCGATCACAACGCGTCCGTTTTCGGAGCCGACCAAAACTCCATTTACATAATTAGTAATTAGTTAGAAGACCATAGTTGTATGTGTTTTTAGCTATATTATTATTCAATTGTGCCCAGAGCCTCTGAGCGTTGTTCTGCATTCATGACCCGTGTCCATCTGCTTATAAGGAAAGGCAGATGTACTATAATCGTTCATACTTTACTAAAGCTAAGCCATATTTCCAGTAATATCTGAGCTTCTAGACATACAGCTCGAGACCCTTCCTTTCAAAGAAACTATCAAGTATTACTGTATATACACACCTATTTTTGTGTATTTACATGAACTATGTAGCTAGTAGGGAACGTAAGAAATTTCAAGGGGGCCAAACGTTTTTTCGTTCGGTACAAAGGTAGACTATTGTCGGTGGATTTTCTTTGTTTCGGCGCATAATTTTCAATTGTTTAAGAAACACTGAGGCCTGCTTAACCTGCGCTACCTAGATTGCGTATTGTGAAGCGAGGTCTTGCGAAGCTCGAAACGAGGAACTGTGCACTGTGAAATCGGTTAGGTATCGATCGATATGAGTGTCGTGAACGAATGTCAAATCCAAAAATACTCGAAAGCATTGGAAACTGCTCTGAATGATTCTGAAGCCCATGCCCGTCGCATAACGCTCCAAGTTTTGCTATATGAAGATGGGTTCAAAAAAGCGGCCTTCAATGCTAGTTCAGTTAAAGCTGGTCACACTCTGACGTTACATGAGTGATGAATCTTCTTTCTCAAACTTGCTCAATAGAGTCACCGTATGGTGCAATTGGACGGAATCAGCTGAGCTCAATGACTGCAAATGGGGCGTGGATAGGGCCACTGCATAAATACCATAGAGAAAAATGCATTGGATCGGACTGTGCATGTTTGGAAATCTCGAAGTCGAAAATCTCTCGGTTGGGTACCATATTGTAGTCAAATAACTACCTATAATTATGCGTATTCGATTTGTTCATCGATTGACAGAAGTGACCTATAGCTATAGAAGTTTCGTCATAAGATGTCAAATAGTACAACTTTGCTTCTGACAGCTACTACAATTTTAGGTCAAAAAAAAAAAAAGAAAAAGACGTTGGTATATTTCGAAATTGAGCAAGGTCATCGACGAACCCGATAGGCAAAGATGTTTTCTATGCACAAACTTCAACAATCAACGCTCAGCATTAGCAGAAATAGTTACCTCACTGGTATGAAATAACCTTATTCAGCTGTATATCATTTTGTTGTCATTGACTATGGAACATGAGCTTGAGATCGGTAGAATTAGACATCAGGACATACGACCTCCAAAAATGATACATCGTGTGGCCTGTTTTCGCTCTCTGTTCTACGATATAGTTGCGTGTATACTTCTCACCTGCGAGAACGTCCCCAGCAGCACCTGTGCTCGGTGCCTACTTTATCAGTAGGACTCAGCACGCGTTGCCTCATATGACAATTTACAGAACTCCCTTGATGAACTCGGTCCATATTGGCCGTCATTCCACTAACCTGGACCGATCGACCGGGTCCGGCACGACACCGTTAGCAGCGTCTGGCCATACGCCCGCTGACTGTTCGTCTCGTACGTCGCCGACGTATGCCTATGCGACCTGCATACCATCTTTCACAGTTTTCGGTGTACGCCTACAGTGGTTCAACGCTAACGCTCAACCTGGTATGCACCTCTATACCTATACGAATCGCCTGATTGCGGCGCATCGCTAACGTTTATAGTGTGCCGCAGCGATTACGATGTCTGGCATATCCCTAATGACTAGATCACCACCGAACCTCGCACTCATCAAAACATGCCGGTGCATAAGGACATCCAAAGCGTGAGCTTCGAGCGTGACGTTCTGCCCGAGATGCGCCTCACCAGGATGAACCGCTGGCCGAAGAGCGCAATGGCGGTGGCAGCCGGGTGTTGGTGAATGGTGACTGTCGCAGTGCACTCAGAGACGCATCACAGCAACGTCGATGGAACAACTGCACGCGGTGGACAGCCGTCGGTTTGTTGATGACTCAGTTGAGTTGAACGCCACATGCTCGACTGGGTTGAGTGACTGCAATCTTTTGCGCTTCGCTTATCGCCATGTGCCAAATGGCGCTTAACGAGAGCGGCCCAGTAGCGAACCATCTTTATGCGGTACATCAAGCCAGAGACTGCACGGCGTCACGATCGTCATCATAATCAACATCATTATAAACATGAGTGGCAGTGCATTGTCGTCCTCTGTTTGAGTTACAAACGTCAAGTCATATTCTGCCGCTGGCACTGTTTTGTTACGGTGCTTGCCGGGTGACGTGTCTTCGGCCCAGGTAACAAAGAAGAACGAAATTACTACATAAATGAGATATCGATTCACGTCTGATTCGGGACGTACACCCCCACATCTTCACGAAATCCATGCCAAGTTATGCTTCATCAGATAAGGAACGCGGTGGGTTCTAACGAAAACGCACCTTTCATATGGACCTTTCAGGGTTTGTTGTGAATTTGTTGTCAATTCGAGTACAGTACGGCACGCCAAGCACCGATCACGGATCCTCAGAAAGCGTCTGAAGGCGCTTACCTAAATCGTACTGTTCGATTAGGTTAAGGATGCTTGGTTAAGCTTTGTTCGAAACCCATTGAAGTTTGCTGGACGTAATGTGAGAGACATATTAAATGAACTAGAAACTGGACGAAAGGCATCGTGGGAAGCTGTTATCTGCCGGAACTTCTGTCGGGAACAGAACTGTTCAGCCGCGTGGTAAAAACGAACGGCGTCGTTAGTAAAAGAACCTGGTAAGCGACGGTGTGTATTACTAAACGGAAAAACTTATTAAACCAGAACTAAACCATAATATATATAGGTTTTTCTATATTTGTGCTCACTGAAAGCGACGACAAAACAGACGATAAATGCCTCTAATTAGGTAACTAGTATTGCTTCAGTAGTTTTAACATAAATGTTACGCCATATACAAAACGTAAATTCTGATTTGCAAACCTTGTTTGTTTCGATCAATAACAAAACGCATGCAATGTACTATATATAAAAGCTCGCACATTTACCTCTTGCTTACTGTTCGCTCAATCCATATTTATTTGCTTTTTTCTGCCAGCCTCACTCAAATGTTCACGTCGTAACTTCGCCTTGAATACCTTTCTTATCCCTGGTAAATGTAATAATATCGCCGGCTCTTTTCAAGCGCCCCATTAATACTTGCCCTTAGCAGACAAGTTCAACCCGCCAAGAACATCAACAACGTACATCAAAAATACAGAGAACCTCTATCGATACGCTGCCTACAATCAGTGACGCCATTCTGCTGTTAGCATAACATGAATGCACGACATATTTACTTCTTCTGTATTATCTGCACGAGACAAACTCACTTGCATTACCATCGATTCAACCTAGCAGAACTGAACAGGCCTAAACCTTCATAATTTTACGCCGCATCCATCTATCTGTAAGCTAGCGTTGCTACGAATGTGTCAGCGTTTTTGCATCTAAGCACTCGCCCCCTTGTTCTGAACCCCCATGGACGGAACACCCTCCGAGCCAGGTTCAGACCTCAATGTTTGCGTTCGCCCACTTGCCTAGCCCCTAGCGTTTAACAAGGTTCGACGCTGCAATATCGTCTGTGCACGAAGGGATCACCAATGCTGCTACTATCTCTGTAACTATAATGCTATTGAGCAAGTTGCTAGAATCACTGATCTCTAAGTGGGGGAAACAAAGGGGAGACGTATTTTAGAGATATTGTTAGTAGCAGTTGTAGCACCAGAAGTAGTAGTATACTTGTCGTAGCTCTCGAACACCAGCATTAGCATCCGGTTCGAGTCATCGGCTAGACCGTGGGGTAGAGAGATCTAGGACTTGAAGCTACGCGCAAATGCTGCCATGAGGCATACGTACACCCCCAACGATTGGCCGGCCTGTCAATTGACGAGGCCATAATAAGATTGAGATCAAGCCTCGCGTTGTATTTCGCGTCTAAACCCCCTGGGTCGTCAAGAGGCAGGAGTAAAGGGGAGCGCCGCCGCGATCTATGGTGCTCATGTGATGATGCACATGTGCCCGTGAGCAACAAAACTGCGTCTCTCTTCCTTTGTCTATAGCGAAACTAAGCGCAACCAGCGAGTGAAAAACAACAGAGAAGCTGCGCCAGCACTTGCAGTGGACCGCCACGACGAGCATCATCGTAAGCCGACATGAGCACCAGCCCAAAAGGATATGGGCGATGATCATCTGGGCTGGCTCCTGTGGAGGAAGGTTCTTATAGAAACTACGCTGCTGTACTACATGTTGACTACGGTTTGTGATTTTGTACTATTGATGCGTAGCATAGTATTGATTCTGAGACTATCTACAAGAAAATCTCTATGGATTAATAATTGGGAAGAAAAGTTTTCAAGTTAATTTTCTATTAACACAGATGTATTTGCTGGTCTGAACAGGCTCTCAACCGGCAACAATTGTAATTGCTAAACCTGAATTTTATATTATAATTGCTTACGATATATCCAACTTAGCTTTTTCAAATCTATCTGCCGTCTCATCATCTACTGGCACAAGTCCACAATTTATTCTTTATAGCTTGGCTAGTCGTAGGCATTTAAGAACCCTACAAGTTCGACTGAAAGGGCTCCACAAACTCGCCCGCACAACTGCTATATATGCCCCCGTATCCTGTGCTGAGTGAGGTTTTGTCGTAGAAGCACAAGTAGGTCCCCAGCCAAGCGAAACTAGGTAGGTACCCCATCTCCATCCTTTTCTAGATCAGCTAACGTCTAACGCTGAGCAAGATTTAGAGCCCCATAGCAGCCACATTATCCCTCGACACACTCCCGCTACTCAAAGAGCGCTTGGTGCACCAGTCCGCCAAGTGGCAGAGGTAGCTGTGCAAGCAGATACACAACTGGCTCTAAAATTGCACCGGTGGCGATAATTCGGTGCATCGGGATCACTGATTGCATCGATAGGCCCAGGTTTTTGATGATGGGTTGTTTTTTGCAGGCGCAACAGTAGTCGCTGTCGCCGCGGAGCCCAGCACCAGCTGGAGCACTGAGAATTTCTAAACTTTTGCACGTGTGCCAGCCCCTGGACTATACAAAAATTTCGTAAGATCTAAATGGTTCAAAAGCAGGCTGTTGACGTCGTTTACGGCTAGTAAAGATAATTATGGATTACTGTAATGTGTTTGCTTTCATTTAGCATAAGATAAACCTAGTTTTCTATCTCAACCGTTGAATGTTTAGCTCGAAATAGTAGATCACTGCTAGTCCCCGTGATAGCTTAGTGGGTAACATATTTGCCTGTTAACCTTAAGGACACGTTATGATCTAGGTTCGAAGCTAAGCATAGACTGACAGACTTTGCTTCGTGCTGGCAGGGGCCAATTGTCTGATGGAACGCCTACCGACTACACCGGACGTAGAACTCGAAAGATGGAGATCACTGCTAGCAGAAGTCAACACAAATAAAGCTCCTGGTACGTAAATATTGTACAGATCAAATTTATCTATTCGCCATTGCTGATAGTGCTCGAAAACTTCATATGTAGAGGTGAACAATACGATATCCTATGTGTAAATACTTTACACGCCGTCATATGGGTTATATCAGCCTTGCTGAGCTTATAAAACTATTTTAAAAGATTTGCCAGGTATCCGAAAGGCAGTATTAGAAGGAATGAGCAACTGATTTCCCCCCATCTGGAGCGCCCACACCTACCGTACATATTTTTCCACCAAGTGTATGGTGAAACCCACGCTCGGCAGAACGAGTGGTAGGTAACATAAGTGATAAGCCGGCTCGTCCCTTTCCGCTCGTTGTTCCTCGCTGCATCCGAAGTAAAGAAATCCCCAGTCAATTTCAACTAATTTTTTCTTTCTACTTCCTAAGGTTGATTTTTGAAGGCTTCTATTGAAAGGTTCTTGGGAAGCGCAAGGAACAACGTCGGTGCCCCGGCAGCAGTACTAAGTCGGCTAGAACGTAAGCAAAAAGGATTTTGCGAAAGTTCGTATTTTTTTGCGGAAAAAGATTTTTTCAAAACTGTTGAGTGTAAGATTTTCCCAAACGACGCGTATCCCATACGTTACGATCGGGACCATTTTTTGACGTCTAACAGGCAAAGAGCAGTTGCGCGGAACAAACGATGGGGCGATTTGACTACTCGTGCGACCAATACTGTATTTATGCGTTTTTTTCGATAGTGTGTTCGGTGAAGTTCGCGGAGAAGAGCAACGCTAAATACGGGAACGGATTTACAAGGGCAAGGGGTGACCTGACGAGGTACAAGGTGTCGGTAGCCGTTATCCTGCTTTCCCTTCCAAACTTCATCGCAATGAAAAGGCTTTCCTGTGTTATTTGATTACATTTCGGCTCTCAGGGGGACCCGCAAGGAAAACGGTACTGTCGGATTCAGCCTTTTCATTACCTTTTTTTCTCGCTATAGCACCTCAAGCAATAACGCCTCGTGTCAATGAAAGCGTGTCCACGAGGCGTTGAAAGTGCACTATGGAAGCATTTTATTTTAACCGAGAGATTAATATTTTTAAAGCGCTACTGGTTTCACAATAGTTATATAGTATATTATAGGTACAATATGAGCATATATATAAACACTATCCGCTTGTCACTCTAGCGTCGTCACGTCTGTCACGAGTTGCTATTCTTCCAAAGGCTGACAGTTTTGGAATCTCTAGGTACACTGCCCCTGATTGCCTTTGTCTACTGTCCCCAGAAGTATAATCATTATACTCATTTTAAGCATACCGCCAGTCTCATATTTGTGACTGACGCATGGAGCCAGGCTAAGATTGGCTGCACTTGAAACCTGTTTGACACGCAAAAGATAACTTCAACTGACTTCCTCAATCTTTTTGCCTCGTATGGGAAGCTTTTGAGAAAAATGAGGAGAACATGTTCAGGTTGTTTCCCTGAGTCAGGCCCGCTGTTTATGCAAAAGGCATACGTTTGGCTGTTTCGTCAACGATAGCTGAAGACAAGCATAGCGTGTCATGTTCTTTTCAAGAGAACAAACTTGAGATTAGATATAAAGCTTCTTGGTAACTGTCATATCGGTTCCCGCCGAATACTCATGCCAACACTGCATTGAAAGCCATGTTTGAAATGACAAAAACAGATAGGGATCCGAACTGCTTTAGTCCAATATCTGATCAATTGTTACTTGGATAGAAAATTCTGCGGAAGACAATGGCAAAGAAGCCGATACTTTTTTTCGGAAGAAACTTCAACGTTAGATAGAAGCGTTGTCATAACTTAAATCCGAATCATACAGGTTGAGATCATTTAATAGTCTAAAAGACGCTATGGTCATTCGAAGTGTTAATTTTACATCTGTACTATATATATATATATATATATATATATATATATATATACATATAAAACAGTGTTGACGTTGTCTGGTGATAGCAAAGCCCTATTAAGTCTTTTTTAGATAGGGCGAGTCATCTCTGTTTGTTCTGTCCCATAACCCTCCACTATGTATCTCGCCGGTGGCAGGTGACGGCCACTGACTTTGTTATCAGTCAGAACCATTTTATGTATAATGCATTTACTCCACGCAGAATACGTTTGGTACTAACACGCTTCGCGGCGTCGTTTATTCAGAGGTTGATTGTTGCCGTAAGCGGTCCTCTCGTCCGCTGTTTATTTCATGGCGAAGTCGCGTGGCAGCTAGACTCATGTGCGTCATCATTTCGTGGTTCACCGGACACGTTGCATTCAACCATCCCTGGTGCGCGTCCGACAAGCACTCGCGAAGTCGTTCTCGTCTTGTCGGTAGCCGTGCATGATAGCCGTAATAGGACCCAGACGGTCCAGTATCGGCAGGCTCTAAACATGAGGGGCAATACGAACATACATATCAACCAGCAGGCCTCCCGTAGGGGCAACTGACCGAAGCGGCGGCGGAGCTGCTAATTCAGCAGCTTGGAGGTCCACGTTTGTGGCGCATGAACCTTGCGTTCCATGGGAAAGGACTATCGTTTGTTGTTAAGTTACAAAAGCCTTTCGACAATGGTGAGCTAATATGATAAGTTCAGCATCGTCGATTGCCGAGCGGTTAATGGATAAGTATTCCCTCAAGGGACGCTCAAGGCCTATGACGTACTGAATTCAGAAAGGAAGTCCAAAAAACGGAAGAGATTCTTGTCGTATCGAAATCGCAGCGGTGATCCTTGGCCTTCTACATTTCGAAAAGGACCACCAATGCAACATAAATAAAGAGAAAATCGACCACTACTGTCTTTAGGCATTGTCTCAATCGATTGGCAGTTTCGTAATTTAGACTTTCTATAGCTCGTGTTAGACAGATAGTTATCATGGAGCTGCAAAATGGATGTTTTCGCCTGTGTGCGCTAGAAAATGAAGTTCTCCAAGTATGTTGCTTTACCTCTTTGATCAATCGGCCCCATTGTTTAATGGCATATTCTGCAGCAGAATGTATTTTCCAGCTGCAACATACAAATGGACTCGAATTTTTAACGAAATTAGGTAGATTGTTAAACATAGGTCGTGTGTCGTGCGACCGTTCACGCTATCGAAATGGTACGGAGCTATATACGAATCCTGGCCCCAAAGCTCGAAAAGCAATTTCCCGCATAGATCTATGAATTGTGGCCATCAGAGGGGCCGTTACCAGCAGCAACTTTCGATCAGATGTTGCTCTCCTAATCTTGTCCTGTTCCCGTCTGCTCTTCTGCTGATCTTGTCTTTTTCTGCCTTTGGCTTCCTCTGTCAACGTAGCGACCCACTACTACTCTTTAAGCTTTAACGTCGACGCAATCACATCTCGTTAGCCAACGACTCCTGGCAACGAGCGAGAAATAGGCAATAGGCAATCAAGAGGTATGCATTAGACCAAGAGGCAACTTAGATAAATTATACCGTTGATATCTAGCCAACCTGCGAACGCATCGTTGATTGTCTAGGCCCAGCTGCAGCCAGATGGGAACAGCTGGTCGAGGAGCAGAACCCAAATGCGTAGAATTGACACCAATGCATGTCGGTACCAATAGAGCCTTTCTGTGCTGATTTTAGGTTCGATTAAGATTTTTCGCAGCCATTATAGTGACGAACAGATCTATAGATCGCCCGGAAACTTGGGTTTCCCAAGGTGAAATTGCTTTGATTTATGAAAATGGCCGTTATATCAACGGTCAATGACAATTGGGTCATAAAAGTTTAATAAAGTGTACTTGTCTAGTACAGAAACTTGAAATAGTTATATTTGTTGACACAAATATATGCAATCGTCAGCCTGCCGGTGGCTGTTGTAACAACCTAGGATGACATCTTTAGGTTATAGAATCGTACTTCTATCTTTTTTATGCTTAATATAATATATAGTTTTGCACGGCGTTTGATACACGTCAAATAAAGATGCTTCCCATTCGTGGTCGGTTGACGTCCTAACTTACGTTGTACTTCTCCGTTTGTTAACTCTAAAAGTGAAAAATATATGTATAACGTGAATCAAGAACAGAAACGTTCTTTGCTATGTTATACATTCGTTACGTAACTGCAAAATTTGAACGTATCGACTACGTTGTACCTTCAAAACATCCAGTCGAACCTATTGTTTACGGTCCATTCCGTAAGCTGCAAAGGTTTTCAGAGATCCATAAATAAACTTATTCCTGAACGAATTTTCTACCCTCATCAATTAATGTTTTCGTTCGAAAAAATAGCTTCGTGGTAAGTTTTTTTTTACGCTGGCTGTTAACTATGCCTGTTTTTTTGGTGATTGACTCATTATGCTATTAAGGTTTTATGTTATACCATTGAAAATCCCTAGAAACCTGTTGTTCTGTCCGCATCAAACAATATTCTCTCAAGTTCAGTTGACAAAAATGGCTATTTCTTTAGGGAGAGAACCAGTTCTTAGATTCTTTCGTATTCAAATTTGTAGAGGTCACCGAAACAGGCGCAAGGTGCGACCTTTATAGCCAACAGAGCTACTAAAAATTGACCTCTAACTAAATGTGAGTATGGCATTCTCGACCTAACAAACGCAATCCATTCCAATAATTTATCGATTCTAACCTTAAATTACCTTTCAAGGGGGGTTAACTATTAGATAAGGTTGCATATACTGGCTGGAAAAGATAAGTTGAGTTGCTTACAGAGCTTCTGACGTTAAACAGAAAAATCAAGTTAGGCGGCAATAGTCCACAATGCTATTTTTGCCATCTGACCAATATGTGACGGCCATCGTTGGGGTCCGATAAGAATTGGGATTAAGAGGAAACAAATAATATGCCATATTACCTCTGACCGTTACCAACTGAATAAACAGAAAATACTGCGACGGTAGGCAGAAGCAAATACTACTTATGCATGAAATAAGTACTTATGAAAGAAATACGAAAAATCGTAGTTCAATGCCCACTCAGCTTTTATTAAGAAGCTACGACGTTCTTGGCACTTACCCAATTCCACGAAAACTGAAACACTTTTACGATGGTAACGAATTGTCTTTAGACTGTAATACAAAATTTACACTTTACACACTTCTAAGTTACATCTCAAATCTAAGTTACATCTTACAAATGTAACCCTGTTATTTGCTAGGAAAATCGTAGTCTTACCGCAATGAAACATCTTCTGTGATTGTCGTTGTGTCTATTCTATCTGTTTAGACTCTTTCTACCATAAGTTTTTCTGTCTCATTACAAGTTCCGCCTACATATAGTAGACACTTTTTACAAAAGCAGCGATCAACCGATAGCCAAATAACAAAGACGAAAAATGCAAAAGATTTGACAAGTACAAAGCAATGATTGGTCCATTGCGGGAACTCACAGCCACGCACCTTGTTGACACGATACAGGCCGCTTAATCGGGATCGAACATCGCTGCGGCCATATGAAGTACGGCTCATCATGTTGTCGTCATCATTATTGTTGGGCAGTCCAGCGGAACAAACTATAGTCATTGTACTAGAACTGTGGCCAGTTCTCGTAACTATCGGGTGATACTTCGTTGAAGTCTCGTGATGTGCGCATCGATTGGTTTCTTGTATGTGGCTTCACAGAGTAGGTACAGATCCGCACTCCGTACTACCGTATCTAGCCATTACTGATGTGGGAGCGAATGAAGTCGGCACGTGCGTCTCTCCGTAGATTTGTGACGACCGCATAAGAAGAGTGCCACTTTTGGATTGTTATTGTTGTGGCTGGTGTTGTTGTATCGGCTGTGTCGGAGATCGTGGCAGAGCCAACTTTACATTTCCGGTCCATTAGACAGACCTATAGGGATAACAGTTTAGTTTGAGGCTAGCCTATTGAAGGCTGAAGAAGTACTCATTTGCAGAGCGAGCACACTATAGATGTAGAGTTTTGAGACCTCTTGGGAGATGTCGGACGTACTCAGTGCTTGCCGGCATTTCACCCGTCCTTAAACTAACGACTTAAGCCTTGCAAATCTCTTCGATATTTCTTTCACTGTGTTTTTTTCGCTGCTCAACCCAATCGAATTCATTCGACCTGATTTTAGGCTTTGGATTGAACGCGGACCCGACTGGTTCCCGTACGCTGTGGATAATTGTGGAGAATAGTGCACAACCCCCGTGCTGTACTGATTGCAACTATCCACCGACTAATGGTTGGGTGCCATTGCCATTTCCTCATTGTTCAATTGAACAATGAGATTCAACCGCAGATCAAAAAAGGATCCGAGATGTTACCTTGATCAGACTAGCGCACAGCCATACGGAACAACTACAATAGCAACATCAACAACTCCCACAATCGACAAGTCTATTCCTTGTTGAGTTCTGGCTGCACAGACTTTCTGGCAACCTCCCAATGCATTGTTGTTGGCTTTTAGTACTCACAGAAATTAGGCACCAACCGATTATGTAGTCTCGCATGCCCTAGCATACTGTGTACGCATCGATATCGATATGGTTGTGTATGTACGTGAAGTGACCTTAAATGCACTCCATTCCTTTTAAAACTTTTCCTGATTTTGTACCTTCCTTCTACATATCCTTATCGTGTAGTTTCAAAGGAGTTCGCGATGTCTACTACCACTGTCCGCGCTATAGCCCCGATCCCTATCGAAGAAGCAAGACTCTACGCTCAGTAACGGATCTCTATGCGCACTACGACTACTATTGCTTCTATTACCATTACCACTAAATCAGGCCTGAGCGCTATTCCCGCCAGAGATAGCATAGTACGCTCCGTAGGCGCGCAGAAACAGGCGACCCTGCACCAGCAGGAGAAGGGCCAGGCTGAGATCTCGATCAGGCCGAGTAACGCTGTCACCCCCGTAGCGATCGCGAACTCCTGGACGGCCGAACAACGATCCAGCGGCTGAAGCGATCTTGCGCGGAACAGATGTTCTGTAACCGGCTCTCGCCGCTGGTCGCGGCGGCGGCGGCGACGGCGGCGGCGGCGGCGGCGGCGGCGGCGGTAAACCGACCAGAGCAGATACGAGCAAACAGCGTACAGTGGCTACGCTCGGGTAGAGCCACACGGCGAGGCGCGGACGACGCGAGTGTCAGATCCTCTGTCGAAGTGGCAGCAACAGCAGTGGTTCCTATCTTGTTTCGGCTGATACAAGAATGGCTCGCCCAACCAGCCGGCACCGGCTTGTGACAGCAACAAACGCTTGACTCGTAACACTCGTACGATCTATTGGAATGGTAGAGTCGACAAGGTGGTGATGTTGTGTGCGCTGCGTCGACGCAAGCGGCTACCTGGCTGGGGAACTCTCTGGCTAAATCTTAGCTCGGCGCTCGAATCGCTCGGATCAGGTACCCCTAACTCCGCCTATTTGAGGGCGAGGAGGTACCCCTGGATTAGACACTATATAAGCAACACGACCAATCGTGGAAGTCAGACGCAGATGAGGATCAAAGACGAATAGTGGTCTCTCTAGCAGACATAGACCAACGAAGAAAGTGTGCTCTTCACCACTTGTGCGACTTTACCACCTTGAGGATACATTGAACGATTTTTAGCAATTAAGATTCCGCTAGCAGTGCGTTGCGGCCGAATAGCTGGTCAACCTACCTGTGGATTGTGACAAGTTCGCTCTAACGCTTAGTCCTTGTCAGGGGACTAGGTAGAAAGATCACATTATTGAGTGTTACGTTCGCTGAGAAAAGGGCGCGCGAAACAGGACAAAATCATGCCGAAGGCTTTCCTGATCAAGAAGAAGCACGACGCCAAGCTGGCGTCGGCGCTAAGCGGCGTTAAGAGGCCGTGGACAGAAGATCTGGTAGAGGAACTCCGGGCTCCACTCTCAGTATCACCGGTTCCTTCGGTATCACCCAGCCTTTCGGAGAACAACGCAACGGTGCCTGGTAAGTCATTCTATGACAAAGCAATTTCTGCCATGCCGCAAACAGGAGACGAGTCCGTTTTTAAAGAACAAATAATCTATGGGAATGACGACGATGATGGCCAATCACCTGTGAGTGACTAGGGTAAAAAAAAATGTCTAGTTGTGTCGAGTGACGTGTAATATCGCCAGTCGCCACGGAGTGACTAGAATCGAATTCATTTCTGCCGAAAAATGTTTGAATTTTCTGCCCCTCGTGCATTTCTCGTGCTTCAGAATTCTCCTTGTTTTACTAAGAACTTAAGTAAGTTTGATCAACATTTACCGTTTTCTTACTGGACCAGAATATCACCAATAACCTGTCCTAACTTAGCGATAACGCTTATTTCATTGTTGATTTTATCTTGCAGATTTCTCCGTACCATATGACCTGTCGATGAAAAAACGTCGTACATCAACATCAGACGCAGAATGCTCTCCGGTATCCTCACCCATGCGAACTCCGTCACCTTCAGGGTACTCCCTACCTTCACCGCCTTCACCCCCGACCGTAGTCGACCCTCACCACCCGTGGCCGCAGGGTTTCCTTCCCTACCCGGCCCTGCCATCTCTTCCTATTTACTATGCGCCCCGTTTCGTGCCTCGCGTAATTCAAAGCGATGCCGTCGTCCCAACGTGGGCAGCTCAATCTCAACTCACTGAATGCCATACACGTAAAAGCGTCATTCAGCCAACGCCAACAGAAAAGGTCCTACGCGAAGAGGTGGTGTCTTGCCCCGATCGACACAGTCCGCCCCATAACCTACCCCAGCAGCAACAGGCGACGTCACCTGTGCCCACAAGCGGGACCACAGTAAAATTTGAATGCGAAGACTGCCACAAAAGCTATTCAACTTATTCTGGGTTGAGTAAACATCGTCAGCAACATGCCTGCGCTGGCCAACAGGAATTCTCGTGTAAATTTTGTGGTAAACGCTACACGTCAATGGGTGCACTGAAAATGCACATTCGCACCCATACGCTACCATGCAAATGCGACATCTGCGGGAAGGCGTTTTCTCGGCCGTGGCTGCTCCAGGGGCATATTCGTACGCATACAGGAGAGAAGCCCTTTCAATGCGACGTCTGTGATCGGGCATTTGCGGACCGTTCCAATCTGAGAGCCCACTTGCAAACGCATGCCAATGTCAAGAAGTATCACTGCGATGCATGTAATAAGTCGTTCTCACGAGCCTCCCTTCTTCAGAAACACCACGAGGCTGGTTGTAACGACTGCGTTTCGCCAGCTTCACCTGTGGCCCCGGTGCCGATACGGCCAGCACTCCAAGCGATTCAATGCTAAAAGTGGAGTCACAGCAGAGAAGCAAATGTTATTTATTATTATTGTATTTAGTCGTTTTTTTTTTTATCCAGAGCTTTCATCTAATTTTCTAATCTAGTAGAAGTGTCACCTGTAGAAAATTTTCGTTTTGTACAGTGGTCAGCTATCACTTGTAAATGTACGCGTTCTCACTTTTCATGTATCGAGTCATAGTTACGGAAACGGATTCAGAGCTACTTGTTGACGCCGTATAACAAGAGCGGTGCACAAACACACAACTCAGCTCGCTGGGAACATATGATTGAAACTGAAATAAACCAGCGTTAACTCCACATTCAACTCTACCTTTCCTGACTCACTCAGCGGCAGAGTTCGAGTCTCTAGTGCCTTTCTTCGAGCCAGCGCCCGACGATGCGCGAACCGTTGCCGAGCTAAACGTCTGTCTAATCGGCAGCTGCTGCTTTTCCCTTAGGAATGAGTTGATCTAGTCCAATTGTACATACCGAACCCAGTGAAGTGCGTTGGTCGGAGTGCCGCGACCACAGCCCCGGGCTCTGACCACGCGTCGGAGTTGATGTCACTCGGAGTGTTTTGGCGATAATCTTTTTACGAATGCTCACTTTACAGCGTCTAGGGATACGATCTCGTCGAAAACATCTGACCGTGAATTCTCCATGATGCCATTGATGATGTTAAAAGTGAATGGATCCTCTTCTAGAGGTCCTACACTGCATGTATTATATATTTATACTAGTATATATTTTATATACATATATATATATATATATATATAACAAGTGAAAGAATATGAATAGGATTCGAAGCGCAGCACATCACCAATGTAAGAACAAGCACAGTGGACTGTTGATATAATAATACAACGACAGCTGTATACCAAAAAACAATCTGATGTACAGAGTTCTGCATATGTATATATATATATCCATAATATAAACACCAAATAACTTATATTACGTATTAAGATTATATTATTATGAAGATGCTACAGTGGTGACTATGGTATAATTGAGGTTAAAAATAAACAGAAAGCACCAAATGGAAGTTGATGTTTAAACAAGCTATCTTGCCTTGCAATTAGCAACGGAAACTCTGTGGGTAGCGACGTGTTCTACGATCCGTGGTCATTAGTGTATTAAAAGTTTAGTGTTCTGGGTATGTTAAACCAAACGACAACTGCGTAAAATGAGCATTTCGATCTTTGTGGGTCCGTTCTTCAAGCTTTTGCGACAGTGGTCGTCGCCGAGGGTTCCATTCGTTATTAACGACAGCCGGCTTTGAGTGTTTACTATGTTAAGCTACTTAGCATAAAATAAATATATTTTATGCTAAGTAACTTTTTTTTTTATCAAATGAAGCTATCTGAACAATTAAAATAGCCAGCATTCTATAGCAAGCACTAGACTGCTTAGTCCCAGAAAAACTTGAATGAAACAAACCCAGTGGAAAGGATGATTAGGCTAAATTGTTGATAAATTCCCTGTTGTCTAAGACGGACAGACGAGCGCGTTCAGCAAGCACTCATTTATTTTATGCCGTTAAAGATAATTCTTTTAGTATGGTAGGACATCTATCCCGTAGTAGCGTTCAAAAAAACCCGAGAGCCGGAAGTTCTAAGGGTCCCCAGGCCGAGCGTCAGTCAAAAGGAAAGATCGTTTCAAATTGAGAATTTTTCCTTTCGTTAGAAATGTCTATATTCAAAATAGAGATGATGTTATTTTAAGGCAAATTGTAATGCATTTAATTCGTGTGATAAGTCGCCACAGTGGAGCGGTCAATCTTACGCCTTTATTAACATCGGAGATAGGAAATCTCCGATCGAGTATTATCGAGCGAATTTAAAAATTAAAAAAAAAAAAAGTGTTACGCTAGAAAATGTTCATGTATGTAATTAGAGAACGCGATATATTATCAAAGACAAAATTGCGCACGGGTTTATTTACGTAGCAATAATTTGCGATCCGTATTAAATTTTCTTGTTAGGGGGACGTGTAACTTAATATTCAACTTACGCAGATGACCGGCAACTATTCCACGTTCATAGTTTTATTCGTACAGGTGGGTGACCTATGCCAGATCATGTAGCCAAAGCCAGCATCAAGCCTTCTTCGATGTAAAAACAAATACTCCCGGCATATATATATA